CATGAAGGTCAAACGAGCCCTTCCTGTTTAAGTGGGCGGTTCACGGTCGGAATAAGCCACAAAGCGAATGAGACTTTGCCGATAGTCAAACATCTGGCTCTTTGAGACTATAACGACTAGATCATAGATCAGGTCTGCTTTGTATTTAGTGAATAGCTGGTCAGAGCCGCTTCTGAGATGACTGGCACTGTTAAAGGGTCAGAGGGTTTGTGCTGTTTTTAAAGCAGTATGTATGTACACACACACACACACACACACACACACACACACTTCTGTGTGACTGCATTGGCCTTTCCCGAGACAGGTTGATGTGTTCCAGCTCCAAATCGGGTCACTGATCCTCCGCATACACACACAGGAATGTTTTGACTGCTGGCTCCGTGTCCTCATTCACCATGCTGACGGAATGTTCTGACTAATGATTACCAAAACCTGCCATTCCTGTCCAGTCCACGGGTTCTATTTTAGCATCAGCTGCCGAATAAATTCATGTTTTTGACATTAGCTACATTTCCATCCAAGCTGAGAATTTAATTTATGCTGGAAAATTTGGAACATTGCATTTTAAGCAATTTATGACTTAAGTAGCGTTTCCAGCTGCATTGTTCAAAAGAACAAATTCGTCACTTCTGGAGAAACTGCCGTAGAAATGGAAATGCCAGTGATCGGTGGCAGATGCTTTCTGTCTGGGATCGAGCATGTCAGACAGATCTGGGAGGTAACAATTAGTGATCAACCGATATATCGCCAACGCCAATATATCGGGCCGATATTTGGCATTTTTCAAATATCGGCATCGGCCGACAAGTTTTTCTGTTTGGCCTCTGTGTTCGAGGTGGGACTTTTATTTTGACGGCGCTGAGAACGACAGCACCTGAGCGCACACCGCTCACATTCTCCCTCTTGTTCGCTGTCATTCTGTCTAATATAGATAGAAGTCTATCTAATAATCAGATAGAACTGTTAAACAAAGGAACTAAAATGTATACAAAAAAGTATTATAACGATTGCTTTAATATTATTAGTAATAGAAAGGCAAACATTATAATACTTTCTCATTTGCCGTCAGCATTCAGCAAATATGCATTTATATCAATTAAACAAATCTTTGAATGACTAATGAACATTTAATTTCACAAACCTTGCAAAATTAGTCGGATCCAGTTGTGAGATCTTGTGATGTATGCATGTGTATCCTGCATGATCGCGTGTTCTCTGCGTGACGGTCGGTCCGTGCAAATTGAATGCTGACAGGAGGAGAGTTCAGCTTCACTGGAGATGCGCGATCGACAAACTTTAAACTAAGTTAGTGATTTCAAATTATGCTGCGCTTTATGCATTTGCCCACTGTCATATTCATGTCATTTTCATTGCGTGCTCTATGTAAAATGAGTGTTACCTTGGCTTTATTTGAAAAAAAAAAATATATATATATATATGATTCCCAATGCACACAAACTTCCCAGAATACTGAGTGCCCTGTTGGTTACAGTGTTTACTTCCTTTTTTAATTAGATTTTTATTAAATATTTATTTATTTGTGAAAAATGCTTTGTCTTCTAAAGTATAAGTATGTTTATTTTACACAATTATTTTTAATCCATTTTCAAATGATTTCAAATTTCTTAAATATAAATTAAAATAAATAAAATTATATCGGCTTTATATCAGCCATCGGCCTCCCTGCTTTCCAAGATATTGGCATCGGCATCGGCTGTCAAAAAACCAATATCGGTCGACCACTAGTAGCAATAGTCAATCATCTGAGCTTATTCAGTCGCCTGACTTGAGGCAAAGTCACATGATTTGTGTTTCCATCATAGTTTATTCACAGATAAAAAAAAATGATCCACCTAAAGCAACGCTGTAAGAAAATAATTTATAGAAAAATGTAGAAAACTGCTATTCTTTTCCCAAATCATTATACATTTAGTGTACAGAACTTTCTAACACTTGCTAACCCTAAAACAAGGCATAATTTAAAATATGGGTAAAGCCCTGTACATTGGGCCATATTATTTTGAACTTTTCTTAGAGTGAACCTTTTTATATTTTATGCACATCTTGGTGTTTCCATCCAGAATTTTTTATTTTGTATATTTTTTGTATATTTGTCTTTTATTTATTTTCTTTTATTTTGACTTTTTATTATGCTGACCGGAAACACCAAAATTAAAAAGCATAAATAATAATTTCTATTTCAAATAAATGTATCCCGAAAATCCCGAAAAACATGGATTGTTGTTTCCACAAAATATTAAGTAACTGTTTTCAACATTTATAATAATAAGAAATGCTTCTTGAGTAGCAAATCAGCATATTAGAATGATTTCTGAAGGATCATGTGACACTGAAGACTGGCGTAATTATGCTGAAAATTCAGCTTTGCATCACAAGTATAAATGACATTTTAAAGTATATTAAAATAGAAAACTTGTTCTCTTTTTAGCAGTTTTAGCTGCTTCTATGTAGTTTTCTCCATGGAGCGGTGGCCATCTTGGTGCCACACATCTGTGCTGTTCCCATGAGAGGCCAGGAAGAGCTCAGGAAGTAACACCCATCCTCAACGAATGGCCCATTCCAAACACACTCTCTCTGGCTGGTAAAAGAAAGGCCCGCTTGAGGGTATGCATGTGTTTGAGGGATGCTGTTACAGAAAGCTACGAGGTTATAGGCAGAAATAAGAGCAGATGATCCTCTGCTGTGGTCATATAAGGAATGGATGGATATGTGGCGTTGGAGGCGAGTGTGGGGTCAGTAGGTGGAGGAATAGAGAAGGCCGAGCGTGGGAATAGAACAGTTCTTTGGCAGGGTCCATATATTTCTCTCTCCCAACCCTTGTGGAGTGTCTGTGATTGCTCTCGAGAGCCTTTGCCCTGTGCGCAATGTTTTCCCTGACATTTCTGAGATGTTTGGACCACAAGAAAAAATTTGTCAGCTGGATACATCCGTCGCCTGATTGTGTCCGAATGGGCTCGGCATGTTGTGAGAGCAAATTAGCTGCAACATTAACTGCATATCAATTAATTTCCCATACTGCTTCCTTTACAGTCTTTATGAATCCAATAAAACGTGTTGCTCTCTGTGTAGCTCTCACCGCACGCGCTATAAAATAATTAATGCTACATGGCTGAAAGATGTGGTTCATATGGAAAACATGTTCGCCTGATGTCTTGGTTTACATCCCATATCGCTACAGGTACCAAAGGCATGCCAGAATGTTACAGCAATGCCCTCAAAACATCTTTACTGTAGAGACCCTACCGAATGTTATTGCAGCAGGAAGTCAGTAAGTTTGTTTTCTGATTTATTTTTGTGGTTATGGAACCAGGGAAGCCTCATACAGTCAGTGCAAGATAGGCGGTGTTCCCTGGATGGATATCAGAGAGTCCGTACTCAATGGGCTGGAATGTTAAAGTGGATTTGAAGGCATTCTCTGCTGTTTTGAATGCTCCCTCTGGATTTTATTCATTTTTAAATTGAGAGAAATCACTTTTTTCTTAATCTGTTGAAATAAAAGTTTGATGTGTTGTAAAAACACACTCTAACCTTGGTCTAAAACATACTCCAAGCTTGGTCTAAAACCTGGTCCAAAAAGACTTAGTTTTTTAGTTCGTTCAGAAATCCTTGAATTTCCCATGTCAGATAGCAGCAAACTGCAATTATTCTATTCATATGATGCCATTGAAGGTTTTTTTTTTTGGGGAAAATGATGATGAAAAACTGTTTTACGTTGACCTCAGAGGAACAAATTGAATATTTTGATATGGTTTATACTTCAGTGTAAATGCACTTGAGTTTGGCTGATTGGTTTGTTAACACAAGGACAAAGGGAGAGAGGACAAGAACAAGAAAGACGGAAAGAACAACAGAATCAGCAGGAATCCGGCTCTCTATATGATTTCACTCTCCCTAAGGTTTTCCATGGGCGTTAGCAGAGCTGAACACATTCTTGATCACAGCACAAGCTGAGGAAGGGCTTTTTGTCGAGATTAAAAGTCTTTCACTCTAAAATCAAAAGGGAAAAGTGTGTATATTTTGCTTAAAAAAAATAAGCCATTTTTTGCATTGTGACTTTGACAAATACAGAGTTCTGGCATGAAACTCTAGATGGCGCAGTCCGATATGTCTAACTCAATCTGACCTAATGACATCATTATCACATGGCACAGCTGATTGGTTCTCTCCTGTATCGGTAGCCAATGAGCTCGCTGCTCAACATTCAAATATATGATTAAAAATAAGCCATTTTTTGCATTGTGACTTTGACAAATACAGAGTTCTGGCATGAAACTCTAGATGGCGCAGTCCGATATGTCTAACTCAATCTGACCTAATGACATCATTATCACATGGCACAGCTGATTGGTTCTCTCCTGTATCGGTAGCCAATGAGCTCGCTGCTCAACATTCAAATATATGATTAGTGCTTGCAGTAGCAGTTGCAGCTTGCTTCAGAAACCCTCCACCTTCCCCAGCTCCACCTGTATAGATTTGATACGAGGTGATTCATGTATGCTATATGGGGTTATTTCATATATGTTATATTTGCAGCAGCAATATTTCTTACATGCTCACAGCAGCATGTTGTAGATGAATTGGCGGTAGCAAGTCTCGGTACTTGCTCTGCCACAGCAGCAGCAGCGTAGCAGATCTATTCCGCCAAGACCAAATACATTAACATTGTCATGTACATTGCCATGCCAATCCCCCAAGAGTTGTCATGACAGAACTGATTTTATGTTGAAATATGATTTGAACGTGCTTGATAGACATAATATTCAGTTTATTCTATATCTATCTCTATCTGTCTGAATCCTATTATCAGCTGCCAAAGCTGACACACACACACACACACACACACACACAGCTGACAGCCAGTTCATTCTCAACAGCAACAACAACAGCAGTAGCAACTGTGACTGTGTGTGCCAAGGTGACATGAGGCCTAACTCTTAACATCTCTTACCAGAGTAATATCTAACTGTCTCTGTGTGTAGAATGGCGTATCGCCAGAATGAGGAGGATGAGGAGGAGGCCGCTCGTGAGCGCAGACGAAGAGCGCGGCAGGAGAGACTGCGTGGTAAGGACAGCGAGGATGTGGCCTACCAACCCGAGACCCCGGAGCTCAACAACAGCCACAGGTAAAACAGATACTTTTGGAGTATTACGTGACAGGAATACTGTGACACTTTGATATGTAGGCTAACTGATGTTTTCTCTGTAACCCACAGCTTTAGTGGGCAGCACTGATAAATAACTTCCTGTAACAGGTCACCATTGCGGAACAGTGACATGTTCAGACACTGAGGCTTTGTGCAGTGAATGGACACAGAAGACGGTCAAACAAGACCAGAATTGTTCTCGATGTGTGAGCAGACATAGCTCCGTCTATTGTCCGTAGTGCTGACGCAGGGTAAACGTTTGCCAAGCAGTGCCGTCAGACTACATTAACCTACAGTGGCAGGCATATGGCAGCCCATGCTGCTCATGCAGTCGTAGAGAAAGGAAAAAGGAGTGCAGATCCACTTTAAATCATAATTCCTCGCTATCATTTTGCATGTTCAGGTTTGCTGACACTTTGGATAAGAGAGGAATTTACGTTCTTTAGAGTTGTAATGTTGTGTAATGGCCAGATATTAGTTAATTATTTGGCGCTGGTGTTAATGTTGTAGCTACTTCAGTTTGGTTATTATACGCAATTTATACACTACTACTCAAAAACTTTTAGGTTTGTAAGATTTTTTAAGTTTTCTTATGCTCACCAAGGCTGCATTTATTTGATCAAAAATACAGTAAAAACAGTAATATTGTGAAATATTATGATGATTTAAAATAACTGTTTTATGTTTGAATATATTGTGAAATGTAATTTATTCTTGTGATGCAAAGCTGAATTTTCAGCATCATTACTCCAGTCTTCAATGTCACATGATCCTTCAGAAATCATTCAAATATGCTGATTTGCTGCTCAAGAAACATTTCTGATTATTATCAATGTTGAAAAGAAGCTGGGCTGCTAAATATTTTGTGGGATCTGTGATTTTTATAGGATTATTTGATGATTAAACATTGCAAAAGAACAGCATTTGTTTGAAACGTAAATCTGTTGTATCAATGCACAAGAATTTACTTTAACTTTTGATCAATTTGATGCATCCTTGCTGAATAAAAGTATAAATTTCCAACCCAAATTTTTGAATGATAGTGCATGCTTACATGTTAAGTAAGAAATATTTATACATTATTTAAAAATTTTAATAATAGTGTGGCCTGCTACAGTAAAACAGATGTTTTTTGTCATTTTGCACATTATCATCAGCTGAAAATGTTGACAATGTTAAATAGTTTTTCTTCTTCAAAATTACTAAACTTAATAAACATAACAAAATGTTGACTAAATATATAAAACAATTTTCATCAAAAGATAAACTATTACAAAAAAAAATACGGTTACACACTTTATTTTAAGGTGTCCTTGTTACAGTGTAATTATACATATAAGTACTGAGTAATATTAATTAACTACATGTACTTATTATATGGTTAGGGTTAGGATTTAGGTTTGGCATAGGGTTACTCACATGTAATTACGCATAATTAATTGTTATTATAATAGTAAGTACATGTAACGTGTAACAAGGACACCTTAAAATAAAGATAAATAAATAAATAAAAACGTTACCAAAATAGCATTAGCATAAGATTAATTTCAACCATTTAAGCATAATCGTATATATTTAGTTAGATGTGTCCAAATGTTTTTTTTTTATATATATTTAGGCATTATATTAGCCACCATTTCTCTAGATATTGTCATTGGCCAGCTAAAATCAATCGAGCGTTAGTCATATATGCGGAGATATAATTTGTGATGTTATATATTTTGTCATCTTATCTTCTTCTTCTTTGTAGTGTTACGGTGACAGAGAGTGTATCCACCTCAGTGGTGTCCTCCAGCGGGACGGGAGAGGGGGATGATGAGGAACAGGCCCTGCTGGAGCGCCTGGCCAAGAGAGAGGAGCGCAGGCAGAGGAGGATGAAGGAGGCGCTGGAAAGACAGGAGGAGCTAGAGAGCAGCCAAACCTCACACCACAGCCTGGAGGAGAGCAGCGGCGGCCTGCGCCACGGCCGGAGCTACGAGCCTAAAGAGGAGGTGAAACAGGTGGAGGAGGAGGAGGAGGTCATCCCTAGAGAGGAGGTGGTGGTGGAGGAAAAGCCACGGAGGTCTTATTTTAGAGAACAGGTGTGTATTTCTATTTTTTATGCTTTGTTAGACCTCAAGAACTTGCGTTCAAGGTTTGTTTATGGCATTTAACTTTATTCACCTGTAGGAATCCGCTGAGGAAATATCTAAAATACCCGAGGAGGTATGGTGATAATGAGTGTTTTTTTATTTTAAAATAGCATTTTTTTCTCTCGTTTAACACAACAAAGCATGTGACTGCAGTTCCATTCATAGGACAATAATGAGCGAGATGCTGTGCCTTCTTCTGAACTACATGAGGTGGTTATAAATGAAGACGTAGATGATTCTGCATTTGTTTTGGAGATGGAAAATGGCACCGCAGAGCTCGCTGCAGGTGTACGGGAGGAAAAGAGTGAGCTAGAGGGATTGACAGAGAATGGAGTGGATGAAATGAGAGAGGCAGAAAACTTTGAGAAATATGAGGTTTCAGAAAATGACGAGTCTTTGGTAAGAGTTTAGTTGCACTTGAAGGACTGCAAACGGATGGATGGTTTAGATTTTGGGTGAGAAATTAACAGAAATGATCACTTGCAAAGACCTCATGAAATGCAAAGTTGCTTTTTTTGACATTTAAGCCATGTGCTTGTACTTTAAAGCATAGTGCACTTGACAAAGTAAATTTTTATATGCATTTAAATTAGTCTTTTGCTGCCTTTCAGTCAAAATCAAACGTCATTGGTAGATTTTATTTGCTTAAAAGTGAGTTTTTTCATTGACTGTGTACATCTGAGTGCCCACCATGTTCTCATGGCATCACAGGAACGCTAAGGTCAGGTTCAACGATTTCCGCCTTCCAAGTTTGATTTCCAAGTTGAAAGTCCAACTTCAAGCATTTTTTTGCAATGGGTAGTTGGGAACTTTCCAAGTTGAATGGAAAGCAGCATTTCTATTTGCAGACAATACTGATAATATGATTTTGTTCTCACAGGCGTGGATATTTTTAGCCAATAAAAATAACACCTCATGCAACCTGCCTCCAGTTGCAAATAGCAAATCCTAAGCTTCAATTAAAGATTATTGGCTATTTGATTAAAAACGGCAAACCCTTCAACTTCCTGTTTCAGTTGGACATATGCCAAACACAAAAACAGAAAACTGCATTCGTCAAGCTATTTCATGGGGTCTTAAACAGATTTGGATACACAAGTTGATTCAAAACTTACTGTTTTCATTGGGGTTATAAACTTTTCCTCCCCAAAATCCTAAATCACTCCAGGCACTAGTTTGAGCACAGTGTATAGTGTTTGCACCAGAGTGCATTTCACATTCAAACAACACAGGTTGTTATCAATGGTCAGCGGTTACACACCGTGTTCACTGCTTGCTGCATGTCTATTGGGAGTTGATGGGGAGTGTGTGTGTGAAAACACCCCAACACGTGTTCTTTTCATCATTTATCCAGCGAGTGAACCAACAGCACCCACATTTTGTTCTTCCAAAACTCTTCCAGCACACTGTCTCTCTCTCTCTCACACACACACACACACACATGTGCATGTCACATCCACACATCACTCAGTTCTGATTGTGTTTCTGCAGATGGAAGATGAGGATGTGATGAGGAAGAATAAACAGCCCAATGGAGGAGTGTGCGAGGACAGCACTCCCAAACACAAGAAAGCTGAGAGGACTTTCAGGTCAGTGCTCATATAAACAATTAATGATTGTGTTAGGATGGTCCAGGCTTTCTTTTTCCAAACAATTTAGAGTTCTCAGAATTCCACATTTGGCAGCCTGTGATCTGTAAATCACAGCATGAAAATGTCTAGGAAGTGTTTTATTTTTAGTTTAGTTTAGCTTAGTTTAGTTTAGTTTAGTATTTCCATATATTTATTTTTGTTGTAGCAGTTTGATCACATAAATCATATTAATATTTCTCGACATTTTCCTAATTTCTCCACATTTGTCTTCACATTAGCATCAGGTCTTTTCAGATCATAGCAAATTAATATTTAAAACATAATCACATTTACATAGTTCTCTGTCTAATATAGAAGCTATATTCCATGTTTTTCTTTTTTTTTTGTTTTCCTCTTTTTTTTTTTTATAAAGAAATATACAGCGCTTTTTCCAAAATATACATGTATCCATATATTCTCACAAAACCCAATACCCATATATGCATATATATATATATATATATATATATATACACTGTATGTATGTATGTATGTATATATATATTTATTTATTTATTTATTTATTTATTTATTTTTTATGGATCCTTTAGATTAACAAAAAAAGTTGTTTTTTTTCATCAAATAAATCTCTGTGGTCACATCTAAACATTAATCGAATGTTGTAATAAAAAAAAAACAGTCGACTGTTGTGTAAGTTCTGGATGTTGAAATGAATATACAGACAATATAATCACATTCCACATGTCTGTGTTTGTCTGTTTTTGGCCTTTGTTGAGATAAAGTAGGTCATTTATATGTGTTTAGCTATATTTGCTTTGCGTGACGGAGTATTTGATTCTAGTCACCTGATCTGCTGTGTCCTGAGGGCTGTTCTCAGCTGTAACTGGAGACTGTGTTACCTTAGACAGGGGTGTGCTGATTCACTAAGTCTGCATGTGAATAGGTTGGGTTTCGTTTAAACGTAAAGAACATGGACGTGTAAAGCTGTTGATAGACCTTTTAACCTGTGTAAGTAACCAAGGGTGCGCTGTTTATTTGTTTGTCTGTGCGACAGCCGAGGCAGCTTGCGCTCTCCTGAGGCGCCGGAGGCAGACGATGCAGACGGCGAGGATGCTCGCTTGGAGGCTGAGAGAAAGCTGGAGGAACTGAAGAGGAGAAGAGATGAGATGGAGAGCGAGGAGTTCGAGAGGATGAGGCAGAAACAGCAGGAGGCCGAGGTGGAGCTGGAGGAGCTGAAGAGGAAGAGGGAGGAGAGGAGGAAGGTGCTGGAAGAGGAGGAGCGGCAGAGGAAGCATGAGGAGGCCGAGAGGAAAGCCAGAGAGGAGGTGTGTTCGCTTTACGTCAATGAGTCATTTGCTGGTCAGGAATTTGTTTCGCGTAGCTTTTCTGTGAGCGAAAATCTTGATGAGGGTCCTGTCAGCAAAATTAGGTCACTTCTGTAAACAATACATTTTGAATAGCATATAACCATGCTTGGATGTTTTATGGATGTTCTTTGAGAATTTAAACCTTAAAAATGGTAAATTGATCTTAATTTTGTGGCTAATCAAAGATATTAGGCTCTTATTTCAGTCCATAAAACAATCAAGAACTCCATTTACCATGGTAGCTTTATTCCACACAAAAAAATGCATAGCATACAGAAATATTGGGTAAATTATTCCATATTTTTGTGTAACAAATTTTAAGGCAGCAATCTTGTGAATGCTTCACAGAAAAGGCAAAGCTCATAGTGCATTGTGACAAGTTTGGTAACAGAAAACAAACAGTTCAAAAGAGAATGAATAAAATTAATGCTTTTATTCAGTCAGGATCTGAACTATTTATTTATCTCAAATAAATGCAGTTCTTTTGAACTTTCTGTTCATCAAAAAGTATCACGTTTTTCACAAAAAAATATTAAGCAACACAACTGTTTTCAGCATTGATATCAATAATAAATGTTACTTTAACACAGCATATTAGATGTTACATTGTTACTTTAAATCAGCATATTATAATGATTTCTGAAGGATGATGTGACACTCAAGACTGGAGTAATGATGATTGTTGATTCAGGTTTGCATTCAATTTGAAAATATATGAAATAAGAAAACAGTGATTTTAAATTGTAATATTTCACAATGTTGCTGTGTTGCTGATCAAATAAATTAAATCTAATAAATCTTACCAACTCCAAACTTTTCAACATTGGTGTTTAAACTACTATATTTCACTCATTACTTGAAAAAAAATTATAAAAATGGTTCAGTCTAATAGAAAGAATGTACTATTTTACCCAGCATTTGTGAGTACTGTGTACATTCATGCTTAGAGTATCATATTGTTAGCTTAGCTTTAAGAGTAATTTGATATTTGATGTTGTGGGCAGTCGTGGCCTAATGGTTAGAGAATCGGAATTGTAACCCAAAGGTTGTGGGTTCGAGTCTCAGGTCCGGCAGGGATTGTGGGTGGGGGGAGTGAATAACCAGTGCTCTCTCAATACCATGACTGATGTGAGACCCTTGAGCAAGGCACCGAACCCCCAACTGCTCCCCGGGTGCCGCAGCACATGACTGCCCACTGCGCTCTGGGTGTGTTCACGGTTTGTGTGTTCACTACTGGGTGTGTGCACTTGGATGGGTTAAATGCAGAGCACAATTCCGAGTATGGGTCACCATACTTAGCCACATGTCACTTCACTTTCACTTTTATCTTTTTTTCTTTATCTCGGCAATCTGTGGCTGTGGTGTCAATTATGAAACTGTTGTACTCACAGTATCGGTATTGAACCCCCGTCGTAATTTAAACGAATTCCACATCATTTACATTAACATTAGTGTGATCGCACCCAGTGTGAGTTCCACATGACTGCACATGAGTTTCAGACTCCGGCTTTCTCAGCAGCGGGCAAGAAACACAGGCGTTCCTCCTCGTGGAGACCTGCTCCTAGCATTGTAATGCAAATATGTTCCTTGTTCCTAATGAACAGAAGCAGTAAATGAAAAAGGACTAATTAGAGATTAGAGGGCCCCGAGCTGATGCTAGTGGGCCGTGCCAAAATCCGTGGTGTAAATAAAAAGGCTTCTTTATGATTTCCCAGCTGCTGTGGAATGTGTCGGCTGCCAGTTCACGTTATGCATCCGCAGAGAGACCGTCTTGAATTTGTTGTTCATTCGTCTCATTATAAACCTCGTTTATTGCAAAAAGGACATTTTCTAGAACATGAAGATCCTAGGTTTGTCTGCTGGTGGTGGTGGTTTTGTGTGTGCCGTCTATCTGTTTGAGGTGATGAATGTGTGTTTATTTTATTCTTCAGGAGGAAAAGAGGAGGATGAAGGAGGAGATCGAGAAGAGAAGAGCAGAGGCGGCCAAGAAGAGGCAAAAAGTGGAGGATTCAGAGGAAGGAGAGGCCAGGAATCCCTTTAAGTGTGTCAGTCCCAGAGGATCCTCCCTGAAGGTCAGTCACCACCCTCTCTCTCTCTCTCTCTCTCTCTCTCTCTCTCTCTCTCTCTCTCTCTCTCCCCACCTCTCGC